CGCCAACGGAACAACACCTTTTCCTCTTATTACGAATATTTCGTGATATTCCGTAATAACCAAAGTTCCTGGCACGATTTTCTCAAGGAAGTAATGTTTCTCAGGCCAAGTCAAAAATAAACTTCCCAAACTTGTTTTGCCACAACAACGAGAAACAAGGAGGGTGGGGTGTGAACTAATTAATTGTTCAATCAATTCTAACTTGAATTAGAATAGTTTGGGTACAGAATGTCTGTCACAAACGTTACAAAGCATTCCATGTATTTATACAAATTTTCCTGACAACTATAACATTCGTAGGTTTATTAAAGGCACTATAATAAAAAGGGATTCAATAAACGGTGCTTTGTTAGGGGAGCTTAATAAGCAACATAAAAAAACATAAATTGAAAACTATTATGAAACCATCTCAATGGTAATAATGTATTTATGGGTTTTAACACTAATAATTAAAATTCGAAACATTATTTGTGTGATGTCTCATTACAGTTAATAATTGAAATAGTATATTCAAAGGTTGTGCGAAATTTTGAGTGGTCAAAATGCTCAAACAGTTAAGTTACAATATTTTCGACTAGTTTAGACCATGAAGAAAATATTATGTAGACATATAAGTACGAGCATTGGGAATGAGACGTGATTAAAATCTACTAGTGGCTTTTAGCACAGACTACGGAAATTATATTGTCTGTGCTTGTAGGGACACAAATCCCTAAAAAGCACAAATGTTAAACTAATTATTGTAATATTTAAACAAACTCAGAATCAAATTATCTATGTGTCAGGATGGATATCCTAGTACAAAATATCTTTTGTGTAAAAAATTGTTTTGTTGTTTGTCTTTGTTAGCTTTTGTTGATGTTATTTCTATATTTAATGATACTTATCAAATTTAGTCATTTTATAGTGTAACACAACACTCCATTGGGATATGACTTTTAAAAACCACAGGTTTCTCAACATAAAAACAAAAATGGGTAGTTAAGAAATTATGTCAGAACTCTCACCTCCCAATCATGGGTCGTGATTTAATTACTTCTCCCTTTAGCTCATAAACTATTTTATTAGTTGTTTTAATAAAATACACAGACTTAGCACATTATACAACTAATAATATACGTTAATTATACAACTTAATTATATTAAGTTGTACAACTGTAATTAACGTAATAATTATATTACGTTAATTATACAACTGGAATTTAAATCTCATATCATTGTAACGTTGTAGGCTGATTATAACCTTCTCTTATTGTTGATGTCTTTAAAATGTCTGCGAAAACATCACATTAATACTTTTTACTAATAATACAAGGTGCTTAAGAGATTCTGATAGGAAAATACCTGAGGATAAGTATGGAATTCAAGAAGGATAAAATAGGAACAAATATACTCTGAGTATGATTATAACATAATATTTTGTGCAGACTTTTTAAATAATTTCTTACCTATGCGAGATGTCAACACGTTATTCCGTTCAATGTTTTTAGGTTCCAGTAAGCTTAGATTCAGTCATTTATTGTTTTGTTCAAACCCAACCTTCCAACTTTAAAATTTAAAACTTATTTGTTTTGTAAACTTCCTTAACGCATTCAAAAAAATTCTTAGCCCCCAAATAGGCCTTTTAAAGGAGACAACTAACCCTTTTACACCCTCTTAACATCCACAAAACCCTGTCACAAATGGACCCAAATAAACCCTTTAACATCAATTAACTATTTAATTTAGTGTTATTATCCAATTTCAGTTATTTTATTGCAGTTTCGCACATCGGGTCGGTCAGATACTGCTCATATCTGACATCATGTTGACAATCTTATCCAAGAAACAACAAAAGCACACCAACACATCCGACAACAGCTGACTGACCTGCACTACAGTCTACAGACTACCTAGGAAGGACGAATCATATAAGGACGGCCAGGATAAGGACGGTACTAAGGACCACGGCGTTGAAGCGCCTACTAAACAGACAGTGTTTCCCGCCCTTGGAATTTCCCCGGTGAAAACTCGAATTTCCCGTTTTCCCCTATTTCCTGTTCATCATGATTTTCCGAAACGTTTCGATGAAAACTACTATTCCATTGCTAGTCTCGAAAGTGACTTATTGCGGTGAGAGATTGCATTTACGCGCGAGGCAAAGCCGAGTGTGGAAAAAACAATCGAGCCCCCCAATGGCACTTTTGAGATGAGTAATGAACATTATTTTTCATTGCGATATCGAAAAAGTTGTAAGCAACATGAATATTTTTGTTTATTCAATTTAGTATCAAGAAAAAAACTCATAACGCTGAGTTTCCGTGCTTATGTCGAGGTGCAAAATAATGCAACAGCTGATCGGTCTGCACCACAAAATCCCATAACGGTTAATTTCCGTGCACCGCAAATGCACAGAAAGTTAACGTTATGCCATTTTGCCGTGCAGTAGCGGGAATAACATATTTTCTTTAGAAATAATCATTTTAAGTTTAGAAAGTGTTCTTTCGTGTGTAGAGTAATGAAAACATCTTGAAATGCCCATAGCGAAATCCATCATGATAGCAAATATTTGGTACAGCATTTGCACTTGGAATCCTTCGATCAACCTTTTTTCATGTAAGGAAATCCATCGTTGTTCTATATATTTCAGTATACATTGCTTGTGGGGTAAAGCATTTTTCCCCAAATTATTTATTGACATTGATTTACAAATAACGAAGAAATAGGTTTTAATTTAACGCAACCCAAATAAAGGTAATGCGAGACATTGTTAAACGACAAAACATGCTCATATATTGGTACCACTGTCTTCTCTACTTCATCGCCGATCAAATTATATATACGTGTATACTCAATGTCATTACATATCATTATTGATCGCCAATGAAGTAAGAAGAAAGGAACACCAATATAACAGGTTTAATCGTCAAACAGTGTTTCACAATACTTTTACTTTCGATTGCATAAAAATCACCTTGTATTCAGTCAACCGATTATCTTTCATCCAATTTCCCTAATCTGGGAAAATTTCCCAGCAAATGGCAACATTGCGACGACCGCTCCATCCCTTATATCGATCACTGTAAAGCGCACACTCCGTCTATTAGGGTTGCCGGGAATAACAGAACATTCGTGCCTATCTGCAAATCAAACATTAATTAGGACGGGATTTTTGAAAGCTTGAATCGAATCAAGGATCACTGTTCGTCAAGCAATTATGGAACTCTAACTATAATCTTTTTATGGCTTTAAAATTCAAATTTACTAATTTAAACAATGTTTCTTAGAGTAGTGCTGACGAAATGGTATTTTGTCTGCGCCTTTTTGAAAAGGAAAATTTGATTCGTAAACAGCTTAATAACAAAAAGTATAATTCAAAAGTTTGATGGTGAATTTTAAAACAAGTTATTGATGACATAATTTTACAGTATTTGATTGATTGACGTTTATGAGGAGAATTTAGAGTTTGATGAAAATTCAACGTTCAAACAGTCAATGTTAATAAAGACAATCATTTATTGGATTTAACTTATAATAATATATTCTCACGCAATCTGCCACACTCAAGAATTATTATTAAAATTTAACTTTCCATTGCCCACATTGTGTAACGTATTTTTTTTTTACATAAACTAAATTATTTACTAACTAATATGTTTTATAGCTTTTATACGAAGCACTTAAGTGATTAACGACAGATTTAAATCACTTTAGTGTTTAAGTGCTGTTAAAACTGTTAATAAGTTTCCGAGTTTACATTCTTAATCTTAGCTCAACGTACTAAGAATATCTGTGACATTCTTATAGACATGTTTTTATAGATATGTAGATAAGACATTCTTATACCAGGGACTCGAATGTCCAATATAAATTTGATTGTATCGACAAAAGCGTTACTAATGAAATTAATAATATTCGCCAATACCAAACAGCAAAAACCGGCAACCGTGGGGAATCAGGGAATGATTTAATTACGAAACACAATTTCCTATTTCATCTTGTAGAATTGACTCTCAGAATAAAATAAAAAGACGTAATTTTTTATGTTAGGTTATATTTCTAAATAACATTAAATTTCAATACTGTGTTGTCATAAGGGTGTTAATAACTTTAAAACAACATTCTTTTATCATAAGGCTGGAAAAACATGCACCACAGACCAGAGTTACTACTGAAATAAAAACTGGTTAATTTAAATAATCAATGCATTACAATTCCACACCCTTCAAACAAAGAATTATATTTATCTTTGTTTGGATTGAATTTTCTACTATGTGGTTAGTCAAATCATAATGTAATTGTAAAATCTTAACTCATAATAAAATCTTTGCATAATAAAATTAACCAATTCTTTGTTTGAAGTTCATTGTTGGTGATGGTGAGTTAATGTTGTTCAAAGGTTTATTGCGGACATTTTCCATCACGAAAGTAAAAAACAATACACAACGTTTCGGACAATCGCTCCGCCATTCTGTTGGTTTTACTTTTCCAGGGACCGGAAGCCATTTCTGTTGTCTCCGTGTTTCCGATTGATCAGCCATGTTGGTTCAGTTTCATTGGTGGAGTCATAGCGTACGGTGTTGTTAGTGTTCCATTGTGTGAGTTTTTTGTACGTAAACCTTTTATAGATTATAGTGTTTTGTGATTTGTTATTAATTGCATGTTGTATCATGACTTGACTGCTATACAGTGCATATTTTTTGACTACTACCCTCGGTAGTGTATTCCAACTTAGGTTGGGCGTTTGTGTATTGTTAGTTGTAATGTGTTAGTTAAGTTTTTTCACCTGAAGACGGGATCAGATTCCAGATCCCGAAACGTTGTGTATTGTTTTTTACTTTCGTGATGGAAAATGTCCGCAATAAACCTTTGAACAAAATTAACCAGGTTGTTTTAGTCAAAGTTTGTAAATTTGAAACAAATATAACAAGCTATCGTGTGGTAGTTCAATATTTATATATAAATATAGTGTTGTTAAATTTAACGGTGTTACAAAAGGAAGAGTATAACTTGATACTCACCAGTATCCATCCTGGTCTTTGTAGCTTTGCTTTGTGTCCGCCGAAAACGTCACTTTGGGCCTCCTGGAAATAAAATAAGACAATTTACTGAGAATTGAGTTAATTATTATGAAATTCAAGCAATTAACGTGATTATTACAAAAATATTTTTTACTTTATAAGTTTCTACTCACATCAGTAAAGATAGATCCAATCAAGTATCCTACACAGGGTGAATAAAAAGTCAAGACTTTTATTTACAAGAATTATATAAAATCTAATTATTTTGTAAGTAACTATACAGAGATATCATTTTGGTGGCCATGCAATCCAAGCAGTAAGCTTCATTTTATGATTTTGAACATTTGGGGGTTTCGGGGGCAACAATTTTTTTTAAATGCAAGCCCCCTTTAAATGGCGCCTTATTTTGAAGTCTTTACAAAAAGTTACAGAATTGTGAAAACCAGAGTTCGCTATCTCTTTCTATTCGAAATGGTAGCGGTTAGATAGTTAAATGTATAAGTAACCATGACAATGAGTAGACTTTAATACATTTGAGGGACTACCATTTGAGAGGAGATAGCAAAATCTTGTTTCCACCATTCTTTACGTTTTTGTTAACACTTTAAAATTATGTGTCATTTGAATAGGGTTACATTTAAAAAATTTCAGCTGGCCTCGAACAAGGCCACACAGTGTGGCCTTGCCTCAAAACCCTCCATTTTTCGGGTTCACTTAAAATTTTCAAAATCATAAAATAAAATTTCCTTCTAAGATTGTACGACCACCAAAAGGATATCTCTGTTATGTATATTTATGTACATAAATGTGTACATAAGTGTGTATGTATATTTAGTGAGAAAAATATTAGATGGGGGTTCTTGACTTTTTATTCACCCTGTATATTAATAGGCAAGCATGTTTCTTGAAAGCCTATTTTCTCAGCTCATGTGCACCGTAGGGAAACTCTACGGACACTGTTTGAAAGATATTTTCCTGTAGATTTGCAGAATCCCTTTATTAACTAAAATAGGCTCAATAGTAAGCACAAAAAAAATTGTTTAATGTTTTAAAAAATTACATGGGCCTTGGGCTTCTATGATTGTGACGAAATAACAACAAAGTATAAACAGAAAATAAAAAAATAAATTAAAGAAATTCCAATTTACATGTTTTATTTACAGCATGGGGTGAAAATAGAGAAGTCGGTAACTTATATTACATATTTTTGGTAGAATTTTCGACCACTAGACGACTTCTAGTTCAAATAATTGAGCTCGCCATGAACAAAATTTTACCAACATAGATTAGATTTGGAAAGTATAATAGTTAAATCTGAATATCATATTTACAGTAAATTTTGAAGGTAAATAAAAACAATTAAGAATATAGATTTAAAATTCACTTACAGCAAGCATGTTAAAGAATGCTCAATAAAATTAACTAATTTCATTTAATAACTAATCTTTCATATAATTAACCAAACGTTCTGTTATTACTTACATGGTTACACACAAATGACCAATGGCCTTATCTTGCATGTTTTTCAATTACAATATTGAAAATTCCGACGAAAACCGGCCGGATCCAAACATGATCCAAATCACATCTGGTTTAAATAAATCTCATCATCGTTTAACCACAACGTGACGTGACGAATATCTACACAGCACTGCAGAAACAAATACCACTAGTAAAGTATACTACCGCAATCAAGTCAAGTGACAAAATAATTTGTAATACTCAAAAAGATATTCTGACAAATGGGATAGAATGGAATTTTACTTATCGAATATTGCCTTCTTGTGAATGAGTCATATTGGATTTCTTTCTACGATTAATTTATTAATCTACCTAGATCGAACAATTCGTCAATATTGTGAATCAAAAGAGACGAGAAAACTACATTCGTTTTCAAAGTGAACTGAACCAATAAGAAACAAGCAATAAGCAGCCAAGATATAAAAAGTTTGATGATTCATATTGTAAAAAGAATTGTGATCAATTAAAACTCTTTCACAATGGAGTTAGAGGGGGTATTTTAAATTGCGAGTTTGAAACTCCAAACAGGTGTATATGACAGGCAATCCAGCTTTGTGAAAACTTTTTAGCATTTATCGTCCAAAATGAGTATCTTTTGGACGATAAACGCTTTTGGACGATAAGGGAAGTAGTAACTTCCCTTACCCTACTTACATTATTTTACATTTTGTTATACATTAAAAGTATTGGTATATCTATATTTATAAAAGAGGAACTATGTATGTATGTATATATGTATGTACCTTATGGAGTCCGAAACCGCTCGACAGATTGTAATGAAACTTTCAGGCATTGTTAAGCATTATTCAAGAATGGTTCGTGTGAAGTTTGGTGCAGATACGTCAAAATGGCACCGACCCAGAGGGTTTGAGGGATCCAATGTCAGACTTTTTTAAATACAATGTTTAAAAATAAAAATAATTTAAAAGCAGATGTTTAATTTCACTAATTGTTTTGTGGGTTTGAATCAAAACATTCTGCATTCATACATTCATTCTGACATTTTTTTAGTCATAATTTGAAGTAGTGCCACAATGTTTCCACAGAATGCAGAACAGAAAATTATTTTACTTTTGGATGAGTCCAAATATATTAAAACCCAATCGCAGCACCCCTGTGCACTCAACAAAGTTTAAATTCTCCACCACTGTATTAAATATGTTAACATAAAAAGTAAAAACCTGTATCAAAGTATTATAAATAATAAAAAATATGGAAATGCCTTAATATTTTTATATTTTTTTCTATACCCACACAATCTAACATAAATTAAATGAATAATAATCGTGCGTGCTATCTCAGGTATTCAAAGGCCTCCCAATTTGTCATTAGGCCTAACCCGCCACATTACTGTCATTGAAAGAAGGAACTCTAATACTTATACTAATACTATTTATCGTAAAGAACATACAATTTAAAATAACAGTTAGCGCAGCAACGCACCGGTAACTGCTAGTATTAATTAATTTGTCAAAAAACTCCTTCAGTGTGTAGTCAAGAGAAGTTTGGACTCACACAAATAAATTTTAAAGATTGTAAAGTCAATTTATCTCGAAACGCAATTTTAATTTGGACCTTACAAAATCAAGAAAGGTCTTGTAACTAGGTCAGCCATTGAAGTTACCGACCTCACTGCGGCGTTAAGAAGACGTGGGATTGACAAATTAATGGCAGGATTTCAACGATTAACCTATAAGAAGACAGGACGCATTTTATTGTCTGCACAGTACTGAAGTAACCTACGAGCTACGGGCTGTTTGGCCATACCATGTATTCGTATCACATAAAGGCTTGGTGATTAAAAGTAAGGAATCGTCAAAAAACTTCCTAGTTATTAAAGAACTGAGTTATAAATTAAAACGATTATCTGTAAAATTAAAGTTGCAAATTTTTTTGTTAATTGTAAGATAACTGCTTGGATATTTTAATACTTTACACTAAATTATAAGGTTTGGACTTAAATGTTTTATGACCACTTTAAACCTAAAGCAAAAGTCGTTGTGCACAGGCATATCGATTTTGTATTAATCTCAAGGTTCTGAAGAATCAGTTAAATAATTTTTATCCTATGTATAAACCAGACAAAGAAATGACAATTTGGAAACTAAGAGGGTCTTTTAACACTATTCGTGCTATCGACATGTTTGAACATAAAAGTTGCATTTATTTCAATGTTAAGCAATTGCGGGAATTCCCGTCATCAGCACCCAACGTGTTAAGGGATCTACAAATTATAGTTACTACAAATGAAGCATCAAAGGAATATGATTAATCATATGATGGGATTATAAAACAACATATAATGTGCAGTAGTTACATAAAAACAGCGTTATTCTTTTTATATACTTTTTACCTACGACCGTTTTTCAAAGTAGCCGTTTCAGTTCAGTTCTTAGAATTAAAAATTAACAGCATTGTTTACTTTCATAACAGCATAGTTTTACTTATAATAACACGGGTAATGGACCAATGAGGTTCAAGGATTGAGAGAGAAGTAAAATTGTAATACTTCGAACCACAACTAATCAGCTGTTCAGGTCAATTTAATTGTTGAGTGGTGCAATTGTTTGGTACAATGTATCGTTGCATCACTGTCAGTGGCAATGAGAGGTTATAAACGAAAACATAACCTATCTTAGAAGAGTAATGAATAGTAATTAAAACACTGTCGTAGGTATAGTAGTGTACGCAACTCGAGTAAATAGTCCACGTTCGTTACGTTAACTACTAACATCATCTCATTAATGTGTTCAAACTTAAATATACTGACCCAAAAAGTTGAAACCCCTGATCATTCTTAACCCAAAAATAAAATGAGATTCACCGGGTGCAAACCACGGACCAAAGCTCTGAAGCGCCCACGTTTGATCCCTCAGTGATGTCTCATTTAAATGCATAGCCACCCTCTCCTTAAAACACCCCTAGAGGGGAAAACTTAAAAATTATTTCCTCCTAAAAAGGTGTACATGTACATCAGCAATTATAATGCAATATGTAGTTGATGATTTTTTACTGCGGCACTTAAAGATATTTTGTGTAAGTGTTAAAGAAATTAATATTAACTTTGAGTTTCAAACAATCTTTTTGAATCAATATCGTCGTGTTTAAAGCCAGTGTTCTAAGGTAATATGATATTGTCCCTTGGAAACCTCCCTTACTCTTTCCTCCCCTACAAACTCCACCCCTCTTCCTACATAATGGATATTACTCTTTGGTATCGGTTACACAACATAAAACACAACTGACCTTGAAGATGTCTCACATTGTTGTCGTAGGTTTTATATAAAACTGTTACATTAATTACAAAATGTTAACTTATTTTCTGGGTTTAAAAATGCTATGTTAACTTAAAATGTTATATATTCTCAGGCATTAAATTTTTAAGGGGTTATTTAATGGTATCGAGATATTTTTATCTGAACAAATTATTTAAAGGGAATGAACAATGTACATTTCTAAATAGGTTAACTAGGATGCCTATATTGTCTAGCTTAATGAAATTTAGTTTCAACAGTATTTTTTTGTCAATTGAAGCCTACAGT